TGGAGTGATCCGTGCAACGTCCACACGGCCAGAGGAGTGGAGTGGTTGGCCTCATCCGCACATACCGCTGGAATGTGGCGATCCACATCCCCACGGATCGACATAGCAGTCGGTGCACCGTCTCCACGAGCAATTGGAATGGGTGGTATCTGCTTCTAAGACCGGTGCACTGACTCTCCGACCGGTGACCTCTTCAAAACTCGCAAACCAGTAGACTGACTGGTAAACAGTGCCCCACAACATCGCTAAGGCCTACCCGCAGTTTCAACAGATCATTGGAACTGCCCCCCCCCCCCCCCCACAGACCGGCTGAGTGTCCTGTTGCACAGAGCTCACGAAGACATGGAATGGGCCATATACAGCTCCATAGACCGACGGTATGAATGACACACAACCCACAGACCAGAGAGATGGTGGCAGCAGGGCCCGCAGGCGAGCTGAGTGGTCAGCACGCATCCCCGCAGACCAGCGTAACGCCTGGTGCACAACTCCGCAGACCAGCCACAATGGTCAGCACACGCTTTCTTAGCCCAGTAGAACGTTTATCGCACAACCTGTCCCAAATTGACCAAGAGCTGTGCTGTTCGGCGCGCGTGTCCACAGTCCTGTCGCATACTCCGCGCGGTCTCAGGCACCGCCGGCCCGATGAGCACGCGGATCCAGAGCCAGTGGGCGGCAGCGGTGGCGCGCGCGGCCCGACCGGTACGACCGGCCGTGCGCTAACGGAGCGCCACTGGACTGGAGCCGACATATCCGTCCCAGTCTGACAGCGAGCCGACCGACGTCTGCCAACAATCAGCCAGAGTGCTGCCGCCGCTGCCCGCCGTCTGCTCTGTGGATGCGCGCAGCTGCGACGTAGGGCTGTCTGGCGTGACGTGAAAACGGAGCCGTGGTTGCCGCAAAGGTATTGGTGGTTAGGCCAAGGCCGCCGGAAGGTATGCGCAGGTGGAATCTGGGGTTATTTACGGCTGAGGTTCGAGAACATTGCGTACTGCCTTCTACGATCGCACAGAAAGAGTGAAAGTAAAGGGACAGGTGACGCTGCTCATCTCACGCAGGGGCTTAATTTTGCACCAAGACTGGGCGTGGGAAATGGCTAAACCTGCCTCCAATTAAACTCAACATTGGGTTTTCTCCCGGACTTGGCCCACTTTTCTTTCCCCGAGGTGTAGAGGCAGGAGCCCTCAAGTGATAGGAGATTGCACCCCTGTTCCGGTCTTGAAACGAGAAAACCCAGGAGAACAATATTCGTTTGAACTTGAATTTCTCTACTGAAGTAGTGAGGTCCGGGTCTTCGCAGCTAGCAACGCATGGCAAGAATTTATCGTTCCAATGCCAATGCTACCATACACCTGGTAAGATTTCTTAGGCAGGGGGCAGCGCGTAAATGCCACATCCGATCAGTCTGGCTCCATTGTATTTACGTCATGCGCCCTCCTTGCTTCCCTGCCCCCACTTGATGAGCTTTCGCGGGGTATATTGCATCGTATTATACAAGGCGCTTCACTGGCTTCCAGCCAATGCCTGCCCACATAAGTCGTAAGGAAGCCATTTTTTTAAACTGGTTACTCTATCCTCTTGCAATCATAACTCTATGTAGCCGTCTGCGGACCGACTCCTTAAACATTAATCGACACCTGATCTATAAGTTCCCAAAACGAAAGACGACAACGAAGGGTAGCATTAGCGCGGCGGAAGCCGTTTTGGCCAGGAATGGCAAGAGCAACATGCTGATTTGTTGACACACCTTGTATGCATTTTTGCGTCGATTATAGGGTATTACTATGCGTAAAAAGCAATCCAGTAGTGCCGCGTTGGCAAATAAGCATTGTTCTATTTTGCTGAATGCATTTTGAAATGATTTTAAGAACGCACGCCCCAAAACCCTCGGTTATGGACAAGCAGCGATGTTTCCCGAGGCGTCATTGGCAGGGCAATAAAGATATTCCTACTTATCAAAATCAGAGAGGGTAAAAACACCCTTTCATGCGAATGCTGGGTTGCGGAGACGAGATTGATTGGCTGATGCTGCCCACATGTAGGCACACCTGTGTTGGCTATTGCGATGAAACTGAATCATAGTTGCCCATTTCTTTCCAGGTGAACATCTCCAAGGTGAACATGCGGGCCTGTCAAACTCCCACGGGACTCTAACGTCACTGCACCGAGAGAGGAAGCAAGTGAGCCTCAGCAATC